GTGTTTATGATATGCCTATAATCTCTATAGCGTGAAGAATTTGTTGTACATACGTTTAACTTGTTCTGAATATATATATAATGAGCATTTATAGTTGAATTTATTGCCAACAAGTCACAGACACCTACTGTAGAAGAATGCTAAGCCCAACAACAACACAGTATATATTTATATTATTAAGAAGTATAAGTAAAAGCCTTTTATTTTGATAATTGGTGAAAGAATTATATCTAAAATTCTTACATAATTGAACCAGCCTGTGTGGACTTTGACAAAAGGCAGACAATTCTTGGAAATACGAAAAAGGAGCAGACAGTTTTTGAAGTACAGGATACAACTTTGGTAACTCAATGACAACATAAGTGAACTATACACAGATAGTCTGGTGACAGAAATAGAGAAAAATAATTCAACTTGTCATCTTAATTCTAAAGCAATTGAATAGGTCTAAGTGAATTTTTGACAAGAAGAAGAGAACTATATAGTGTTTAAGATATAACTATGACCTGTGTAAGGAATTTTTGAACATATGTTTAACTTGTTCCAAATGTATATATATTATTTTGAAAACAAGTGGAGTGTGTACTGTTCGTTTATTTTTTTAATTTATTGCCAACAAGTCACAGACACTTACTGTAGAAGAATCTTTAGCCCAACACATTCATATATTTACTTACTATATATAAAAACTAAAAAGTAAGTTTCCTGACATATACTCATTATTAAGTGTTTTTTGATATAATTTCAAATGATATGTTTCCATATGACATTTAACTCACCACCAAACTTTATACTCCTACAGCATGTGAACCTGACCGTTTTCAATGCATAGATGGCTCAGGATGTATCACTAGAAGATGGGTTTGTGATGGCCAAGCTGATTGTACTGATGGAAGTGATGAAAGGGAGTGTTCCAAGAGAGGTGAGCAGGAAAAATTTTACATGTTTTACCATGAAACTTGGCTAGTGTCTATCAGTTGACAAATAAATATCCACACATTTTTACATTTCCAACTTGTTTAAAAAAGTGTACAAGTGTGGTAAAATATTCAACAATGAATCATTTCAAACCTGAATAAGGTTAATAGTTAAAGAAAGTGCTTTGTCATATAAATGTTACACATAACTAAAGAATTTGAACTTTTTTCATGTTAATTAATGAAATCTATGTTTGTGTTATCGAAGTTCTTGTCAAAATTGCATCTTGTATCTCTTAAATTTATGTTCAGCCTGTGCTGAATTTATGTTCAGTTAGATCTTCAGTGTAAATGTAACAGACAACTGTTATAATATTTCCACTACTATTTAAGTTAATTACATTGTGTGAATCACTTCTTCATTTTGTTTATAATATTTAAGGATTTTGTAACATTAAATTCTTTAATTTTTGTATTATCTGCATTTTTCTAGAGTGTGCTGTCGATGACTTCCGTTGTAACAATGGCATCTGTATTCCACCTGTCTGGCGTTGTGATGGACAAAATGATTGTAGAGACAACAGTGATGAACTAAACTGTGAGAGTGTGAGAAGCAGAGGTGAGTAGATAAAAAATGTTAGAAAAACAAATTAAAGAAATGGTTGTGTATATTTCCCTTTGACATTTAATATAATGGATATATTAAGCAATGGATTACAAAAGAAAAGTTCTAAAACTCCCAGGAAAATATAACTGAGATGGAAAAACTCATAAGAAATACACAAAGTACAAGTTATATAAATAATATGAAAGGTTGATGACCCACAACAACATATAAAATTGATTTACACTTAAACCTGATGTCGAACTAATACTGAAATGGGTTGAGACACTAAATTTTGTATGTGTTCAGAGAGTTTATGGACATTAGTCTACTGCTATCAGTATTTTCAAAGTTTATGTTTGAATGATGTTTATCTGTGTAAGTTGTGTTTTTTATATCATCTAAGCAATGCTATTGCATCAAATGACTGTACTTAAAATCAAGATCTCTGCCTTCCTTACTCAGTTAGAAAAATAGTTTACCTAAATATTGTCATTTAAGTGATGAATCACTTCTAGATTTTATTTATTTTAATTTGTAAATGATATATGCTTTTATCACAAGTACTTGTAATATTTCAATTCGTAAGTGAGATATTGTATTGCACTCTTAATTAACTTTTAAGAAAATTTTATGGGAATGATATTTATAAAATGTTAACTAAAAGCATTATAATGGAAACGTTTATTTAGAAACGTCTTTAATTATTCTAAACATATTATATACCTAACACAAAGAAACATATTACCTGCTGACTGAAGGGCTTTGTTTTATCTTGTTTCTTTAACTGCAATTTTTGATCATACTTAGTTCTCATATTTCAGTACACATATTAATTAGATAACATTTGTTAACATAATTATCTAAGTCAAGGTACTTTATTGTAAATTATGTCTTATTTTATTTTGTAGTTAGTACAACAACCAACTGGAAAGCAAGTCAACGACATTGACCATTTAGAAATTTTCTTTAATTACATAAGGTTAAAGCTTTTGTTGGGCATCAGAAAGTTGGACTGAGTTTTCTTTTCTTTTTTACAGGCATATTAAGGTCGCAGAGTTTTATTTAGGCAGTAAAATATCGAAATTATGACTTGTTATTCTGGTTACTATAGGTGTTCATGAATCAGATTAAGTCAATGACAAACTAGCAATAAATACAAGGATAGAAGGAGCAATTTTTCATGTTGTTTGTTGTAACTTATTTTAACATGTAAAGTTCTTTGTTTTATATTGGGACCAATATTATATGTTAATAACTAAAGATATTAGAAGATCAGCAAACATGATTTTCTTGAAAAGGTCCTTTTTTCATGGTAGAAAAACAATTATAAAGGTGAATTTTGGTACAAGTTCTGGTACTGGTTTGAAACTTGCAAAATAATTTTGTTGGGTGTTGTTTTATAACTGTTTTAACTTAGATATATTTCTCACTTTGTTGTTTAATAATTTGTAAGAAATTTGTTACTCTTATTCTACAACAGGAAAAAAAGGGACCCACATTAGTATGAGAAATATCAATATCAATTATAGTTTCAACAGTTTAATCTAAAATTCATAATACTTTGGTCATCCAAGTGTTAGTACTGTGTCCAGTTTTATAGAATCTTAAAGTTTTCTTTGCTATCTTGTTGGATTTATCCAGTTTTAAGGCCAGCATGTTGGATTTTCATGGTACTTTATTTTGTTTGTAACAGTTTTGTGGTCAACATATTAATTTAGACATTACTTTTCATTTATGGTTTGCTAGGTGTATTGCAGTCATATTAATGATCCAATTGAGACCATACAGTCAAAGAAATTTGGTTTAGGAACAATTTACTTATGAAATAAAGCATAAAACATCTTTTTGCAGTGATGAATTTATTAAGTGCATTTGAGATATGGAAAGACATGAAAGGTCACCGAAAAGAAAAAGAAACGAGGCAGAAGTTAGTAGAAAACATTGTCAGTGTTATTTATCCTTAATTCAGTTTAATAAATCTGCACTAATTAAAAATAAAGGGAAAAGATGTAATAAATATTACTATATCTTTACAGTCATTGGCTGAAGGTGGAAATTTACAAATGAAAAACAGTACAAATTTTTATCATACTATCTACCATGTGTTTTCAATAATAAATGTTTTGATTCCCTCTAAGCAATGATATTCATAAATTTTAATATTTTTGTATTGATAATCATTAATAGTCTTTGATCATATACATGCTTTTTAATGTGTTTAGTTACTAGTTATTACAGCATAATGATTCTCTTATTCATTTTGATTCAATTATGACACAGTACCATTTTTGATAACCAACATTACTGACTAAAATACAGTTGCTTTTAAAATGATATTTGGTTATATCCTTTAACCAGTTGTGTGTTCAGTGGATAGATAATTGAATAAATAAAGAAACTGGATTTCGTAAGTTGTGATTTATTTACTCAGTTTTATGCTGTCTATTTTCCAAGTACTGGTAATGATTGCATTAACAGATATACTGATTAAAATACACTACAAGCTGGTTGTAACATAAAAAGTTTGCTGAATGGTAAGAATGTAGTTATGGAAGTAAACAGTAGTGTTTTAACAGAATAGTGTTTTATCAAACTGAAGTAATATAAACCAGATAATAATTATAATATCCATTTTATGGCTTTTGATTAAAATGTATGTTTTAAAAACAAAACATATAGACGTTAGATATGTTTGGCAAAATATGATTAGAAATTGCACCAGTTTGTTAATAAAAATGACCTAAAATTTAGAACTTACTTATAATATGTATATATATATAGTAAGGAAAGTTTGTGGAAATTGTTTACGTTAAAATTATTCTAACCGCATTTAACTTGCCAAATAAGATGGGCATTGAATAATCATTACTAAGTACCTGATCTAAACGTATAGAACAGAAGAGAGCGAGAACATACGTGCCTAAAATTTTAGCAATTGCAAGTGATTGTGTTAAAATTTGAAATAAGTAACCAGTGTTCATTACTAAAATATATACGTTAAGGAACTCTTTTTACTAAAACCACAAAATAATTTTATACATACATATACACCTAGTGTTACTCTTCATAAACGCGAGACCTTTTCCAAGAAGTACCAAGAGCACATAATGTGTGCATATAAATATAAAATCGGAATCCAGAATCATATAAATGGATATGTACATCACTAGGAACTCTCGGTGGTAGAAATCAATTTTTTATTTAATTATGACCAGACTGACAATTAATATGGTCGAATATTACAAAATTGAAACGTTAAAATTTCCATTATGCAATTCGCCTATAACGGATTTACTATAAAGACAAGTTACGTAGCATTATTATACGCAGGTGGATACATACATATTTAAATTGCAGTATAAACCTGGTGAAAATTTCACATATTTTAAAGAAAACCGTAAAGAGTCGAAGCATTTTGTATCAGATTCTCATGACAAGTAAAATAAACAAATATTTGACCATAATGTTAGTCGCAAAGTGCATTAGCATCTTCATAAAAATGTCGTAGGATTTGAAGAGAAAAACATTCTAACTTAGATCATATAATTTTTTATTGTACGTTTTATAAGTGCTTCTTCAGAATTTTTTAAATTAATGTAAATGATACTAATTCATTATTTATCTTTTGTTTTTAAGTTACTTCTAACAACTTTTTTGAAAACAATGAGAAACCATGGAACCTACCCATTTGACGATTATCAAAAATTATGTATTACTAATATTTAAATCAAATTTGTTAAGATTTGTAAAATAGTTTCAACCTCACATGACACTACAAATCTACAAACAAATGAGACAAGTTTCACGAAAGTCGATCGAAAATGTTTTGTTGTTTTCGTTCTGTCATCCGACGTTGGAGACTGACCACATACTAGATTTTGAACGTCCGTTTGTTAAGATTTTTGGACATTCATTTACTTGGCAACTATCAGTGGCTTGTTTACAGCGTTTTTAAGTTTTTTCTCCTAATGATACTTTTAGTGTAAAACAAAAATATTGAGGCAATGACATTAGTCGATTCGCATTACTTAGAGATTCTCCTTTCTATAGTTACAAAAGGAAACTCGCGTTAATTAAAACGCAATATTTAATAGCAAAGCGGTATTGCCGCTAAGCCTCTCGCAGTCGATTACATGAATAAGGCTTTGTTCGAATTGCGAGTCTTAACACATTCTTCCGTCACATGACACACCAGTTAGAAGTCATTAGGTTTTCGAAGCGTCACGTGACACAGTTTTGCCTGTAGTACCGTCGTCGCTGTTATCTGTGTAATAAAGAGAAAAGCTTAAAGTGACTTAATTTTCTAAGTATATAACTGTTAGTAACAGAAAATGTCCACGTTTTTTCTAAGAAATGACTTAATTTGTGCTAAATTATTCATTTCATTGTGGATGCACAAGGGCCTCTTTTCCATTTTGTCAAAATTTGTAATAAGTAACCAGTGTTCATTACTAAAATATATACGTTAAGGAACTCCTTACTACTAAAACCAAAAAAATAATTTTACACATACATACACACCTAGCGTTACTCTTTACAACATCTTTATTTATTTAGTCTAAAAGTACCTTTGCTTCGTAGTCCATCGCTCAGAAGAGTTGGCGCTTTCTTTATAAGGTCTAATAATACATTTCACGCACGTACGCATGGAGGGGGGGGGTCGACACCCCGTATTTTTGTTTCTGGTGTTTCCCTAATAGAACAATGCTGCAGAGAACTGATTTCACTAACAGTGGAAGTAGACTATTATTCACGTCGTATCTTCAAGCACACAGCAATAATATTGCAAACAAAGCTAATATTAATGTTAGCATGCTACGAGTTAATCAATGACAAGCCCAACGTGCAAATGCAGAACACAGTTCCGTGGAGGATTACTTTAAAAAAACAGTAACCATTCCTTTTCATGACCACATTATCAGTAATCTTTCCTCCAGATTGAGGCACTTGTAAAGAAAGCAGTATCGGTTAAGAAACTCGTGCCATTAAAAACTCGCATAAGAGTTTTCTGTCTCTGATATTAACGAAGCTATAGATTTTTACAGGGAAGATTTGCCAAATCCTGATATTTTTGACGAAGAACATCATCGATGGAAGACAAGATGGCTTTCTACACATCTCCAGGACAGGCCACAGATACTGGCAGACTGCTCAAAAGCGTGATTCAATGTACATATGTGATAGTCAATGATTGAAATAGCTGATATATTATTGTTCTACACAGTTGTTTAAATTAGTGATATAATTTAACAATAAATAACTACTCTGCATATAGATAGTACAGTACTTTATTATAATAAAACATACATATTGTTACGACAGCGGAGGTCATGTGACGCTGTTAACACGTGATAAGTGTAGAAGGTTCATGAAGAGGCGAGTGCATTCTAGACGCCCTCTATTCTTGTATATAAGCGCGGCAAATAAAGTGAGATAATTAATTACATAGCAGACAGAGAGATAGGGAGACAGACAATCGAGTCAAGTCGTAAGTAAAGTGCGTGAATTGTTGTGAATTATAGCATGTGTTTAAGTAAAATTGACTGTGGAAATTAAGTGTATTGCAAAGTTGTATTGAGAAAGAATAAACTAGTTTTATTTAAGAAAAGACTTGTATTGTTGAAGTTCTTCGGAAAGAATTTCTACGGAAAATTAACAAACGAACAGAGACGTAACAAATTGGTGTCAGAGAGTGGGACGGAAAAGAGAAAAAAATTGGAAATGAGAAGTGGCAAATCAAACTACAGCTTAGCAGATTTGATGGCAGCAATACAAGAACAGCAAAAGAAACAAGAAGAGAGATCACAGCAATTGTTGGAGGAAAAAATAAAAGAACGAGAAAAGAAACAAGAAGTGAGACAACAGCAGTGGCAAGAAAACCTGCAACAGTGGCAGCTCGAACAGCAAAATAAACAAGATAAGAGATTACAGCAGTGGCAACTAGAACAAGAAAGGAAACAGGAAGAAAGTCTCCAACAGTTGCAGGAAAGTCAACAACAGTGACAAGAAGTACAAATGGAAAACATTAGTAAATTTCAAAGTAAATTAAATACATTAAAGGATGATTTACTGTCTTTTACACAAGGAGGATATATTAGCCATCGACCTAATCAGCCCTAGACAACGGGAAGCCCCTTCCAGACTCCGCAACTAAACCCTAATGCAGATATCTTCAGTCCTATCAGAAGTCTCATCCCAGACATGAGTGTCAGCAATAGGGGTGATCTAGAATGAAGGAAGCCACAGGAATTCAATGGGAAGCATATAGAGCACAATTTGAGCTCCTGGCAGAAATGAATGGATGGACGGAGGAGCAGAAATCAGTGTACATGGCAACAAGCCTGAAGGAACAACCACTGGAAATACTTGGACAGTTGTCAGCAGACGACAGGCACAACTATAGAGCACTGGTAGCTGCTCTAGAACTCAGGTATGGAACTCAAAATCAGTCCGAAGTATACAGGACTAGGTTCAGAACGACAGTCCGTGCTAAAGGGGAGAGCCTGCAAGAGCTGGCACAGGAGTTGGAAAATATGACACACAAGGCCTACCCAACTGCACCACCCAATGTCCACAAGTTGTTGCTGAGGGATCAGTTCGTAGACGCCTTGGACTGTCCACAACTGAAGATACAAGTAAAGCAATCACACCCCTCTACTATGAAGGATGCAATGACCAGAGCTCTTGAATTCGAATCCTATGTTAAGTCCAGCACAGAGGTACCAAGGTTGGCACAGTCATCAGGTCACAAAAGGTCAGCTTTCAGAGAGGTTTGAAGGACTTTGCTTGCACTAATACAAACCAGGGCACAAAAGAGCTTAATGCCGGCAACTTCAACACAGGGAAGATACCAGGGCAGGAAAGGCTGCTACCCAGAAAGTTTGTTGGAACTGTGGAGAACAAGGACATGTGAGGAGCCAGTGTAAGAAGAATACTACCAATAAGTCAGCCTCAGCGAAACCAATAGTGGTTGATGTTGAGGATTGCCCACCAACCCCCATCGTGAAAGTCCCAACAGCTAGGTGTAAAATGTCAAGCACGCATAGTGTCTACGTAACAGGAAAGCTAGATGGCCAAAGGTGCAACTTTGTCAGAGATTCTGCATCTCAGCAAACCCTTGGGAGTATCAAGGTGCTAGATCA